GGGGGGGGTAAAAAAAAATTCGGCGCGCTTCGCGCGCCAAATTAAAAATATTTACCCCCCCCTACAGAATCCTTATGTCCGCCCCTGACTGTATCCATTATTCTATATCCTGTATCCTGTGTCCAGTATCATTGATTCTGTATACGGTATCCTGTATCCTGTGTCCAGTATCCTGTATCCTGTGTCCAGTATCCTGTATCCTGTGTCCAGTATCCTGTATCCTGTGTCCAGTATCATTGATCCTGTATCCGGTATGCCATTTCCAGTGACATGCTATTTTTCACTGTGTTTCTAATATCACGTATCTACTATCTAATATTTAAACACAGAACTAACATTTAGTTAATACCAAAGTTACAGAATTATTATGACATTACAAACATTATCCTCTAAAATACGAACAGAGTGAGGTATTCATAACATTTTGAAAACAAAACGTTTGTTATTTCTAAATATTTTTGGCGTTAAATCTTTTTAACACTAAAGTATCCTGTATCCTGTATCAAGTATTCTATAATCTATATACTGTATATTTATATTCTAAATTTAAGTAAAGTGTTGGCTGAAGTGTATGCCTATGTACTTTGTACAGATTGAGAAATTACAGGGATTTCTTTTACTAGAGAGAGGTATATTCTAGACCTGGGCATTGTTTGAATTAATCGAAAAGTAAGAAACAGTTTCAAGACTGCAGAATTAAGAGCGCGCAAACTCACACTTTTTTTTGTGAAAATCCAGTGAAAAAAAAATATATATTGGGTGGGAAGGGTGCTATGTAGTTTACGAAATATCAAAAATGCAATACTGTAAATGAAAGGGAATTTTACAATAAAACAAATTCTACAGCAGACATTTGTTAATATGAGTCCAGTTTAACATTTTAAGTATTTTAAACATTACCATGGATGCCCAGGGCTAGGTCTGTGAGTGAGATCAAGTATTCTTTGGCAGTGCAGAGTTTAGGAAACTAGGAACAATTTAAACCAAACTTAAACTCTTACCTAAAGATTAAACTGTCATAATGGGAGAAAGGGAATTTTAATTCTGAAAGTTTTTAAAGAAACATGACTCTTACATAAAAACTAAGCTTTAACCCATTATGAAAGGAGAAATCTGGAGATCATTTTGTTTGTTTTAACTAATCTTAGCTTATGCTGCTTGGAAAATAATGAATTGGGAAAATTGTATTTATAAGTGCCTAATACAATTAAATGTAATTAATAATGCGTCAAACTAATTGCGTGATATTCTCATGTGTGTAGGGTTGTAAATCGTTGTTACAAAGGATCTGAAAAAAAATAGTATTTCGATTAGTTTTTTTTTGTAAATGATCGTTTCGATTTTTGAAAAAAAAATTCGTTTTTGAAGTCGAACAACTCTTTTGTAACTTTAAAAAAACGAAAAACTTTCGATTTTTTTAAAAAACGATGGTTAAATATTCGCTGAAAAAATTTGAGTGTATTGACAATTAATTCCAATTTTTTTAGAAAGATAAGTTGATGAATGTGGTCTTAAATTTTTTTTATCGAGAGAAATAACCTGAATCTTTTCTGACCTCGGGTTTTCGGACCAAAAATGTATTTTGTCTTAAAAAGGTCGTTGCCAATAGTTAACGATGGGTCGTCTTTAATGGTCGTTATCAAAGGGTCGTCTTTAACGGTCGTTATCAAAGGGTCGTCTTTAACGGTCGTTAAAAAGATTCGTCGTTAACGATTGTCAAGAATTAAAACGACCTACTTTCAATAACAAAACGACGAACTTTTTCAAAAGCGATCTTTTTCAGCTTTCAAATGCGATCGTTTTAAAAACGACCGTAAAGTTTTTTACACGACCGTTTTTAAAAAAACATCTTTTTCAAAAACGATCGTTTTCAAAATGATAGTTTCGTTTTTTGTCTTTTCTTCGTCGTTCTTAAAGCGAAACGATCGTTTTTCAAAAAAAAATATTAGTTTTATCATCTAAACCTATCACATTTGTTACTTATCTTGTATACACGTTTGCCTTCAAAGCCAATAAGAATTTAAATGATGTCTACATTTTTAAAAAATTTCTGAACGTTTTTTATCGACAAAAAAAGTTTGAACGTTTTTGTTAGTGTTTAATATTGTATCTCATTAATAAAATTATATAATCAAATAAATGAAAATTGGATCATACGGTTAACTTTAAATTTTTTCATTTATATTTAGTTACCGGCTTTTGTATTATTTCCATTTTCCACATGTTGCATGTTAGAATTTGATTATATTTACTTGTATAGTAATAAACTGAAAGGAAGTCGAATTTGTATTATTTTTATAGTGAAATTTCTTGCGTGAAACTCAGATTATTAATAATTATTTTTAATATAAAATAAACAAACTTTACCAACAAACAACAAAGAGATTTAAAAACTACATAAAATATCAATTTATACACTAGAAAGGGGATAAACAGATAAAAATAATCTTTATAATAAAACAGTACATTCGTATATATGTTCCCTGTTGCCGGCCAAACGGCTGGACCGAATGGGCTAATTTTTTTTAGGGAACCCGTGGGTATCCTAACATAGGCTAAACATTTTGTTAAAAAAATTTCAATTTTTTTTTCAAATTTTTTTTAAGTCCACGGGCAACGCCGGGTATTTCGGTTAGTACTTTTTTAAGTGGGAGAGAAGGACACATGAAAAATTTTACTTTTAAAAGATTGATTGGAGATTTAATTAATCTAAATAATTAAGGTGAACCCTGCTGAGAATAAAGAGGGAGAAACTAAACTTCAGACTGTTCTAAAGCAGAAGCTTGGTGACGGAGCAGTTCCTTTTACTCTTCAGGTATTCAAGTTTCCGATCCTTTCTAGTTATAAAACATTTTAGTCGTGTTCTACGTTGGTATAAAGGAGTTGAGTCTGTTCCACAAACTCAAACTTTGAATATCTATATATTTGCAACCTGATTGTGTGAACCTTTGATATTTCAAATTAGATTATTTATCCTAATTGAATTTATAGGTCGGAAGATCTAATTAGGTCTTCAATATTGAGATGCAAAGTGTGGCAAAGACTCAATTTTTTTATCTTACAAGTTACAATCCAGTACTTAACCTAGATGAATAAGGCTATTTATTGGATTAACATTTTTCTTTGTATTTTTGGTATTCAACCAAGATGAAGTTCCTTTTTATTTAAATATTTAAATATTTGATTCTCTGTCAATTTTTTTAGTTGAATTGTTATTAATTGAATTCAATAGTTACTATTTTAACACTTTTTGGCCTGGGAGGGGGGTGGGGGAGTCAAGTTGACCCCCCCCTCTATAGTTTTTTTGCGATAGCTAAAAAAGCATTTATTTTTAAAATTTGAAATTTTAAATTTTGATTAATTAATTAAACACATTCCCCTCACTTAAGGCGGCTAAAAGCTGGGCTTTTATACCTACTGCCTACTTCCAGTCATTGGATTTCAACAATTTATAGCTCATCGGAAATCCCTATAGCAAAAGCAAGCAGATTGCAATATTTTTACAAAGACATTACATTGAACAGATTTTTGCAAAAACGCATTTAAAGGGAATTTGCACATTTTCAGTTTTTCTTGAATACACTTATAGGATTTAAAATGTTTGCAGATCTTTTTGCATATTTGCATCCGCTGGGTCGATGGATTTTAAAAAATGTATAATTTGTTGCAAGTTGCGCAATTTTTTTGTTTGCACATTTTTCGCAATAGTTATTTTGATTTTTGCAAATTTGCCATTTTTTACAGATTATTGAGGTAGAGCCCAAGGGCTTTCCAAAAATGTATTGTGTCACAATGAGAAAATAGACCCCCCCCCCCCGGCAACCAGTCAGTAAACGTCGGCTAAATAGGGTTAAGCTGTCTACAATCTGCATTTGTATTACTGAACAGTTCCTTATTCACAAATATTAAAATATAAGTAAAGTCTCCTACGTGTTTACATTTATGCAACGTCGACAAAATACATTATTCAATTCCAAAACTGTCTCCTTCAATTTGTGGCTGAGTTATCTGATTTACCAACTCAATAAGAAGAATCCAGGAGAGAAGAGTTTTCAACTAGCTTCGACAAATTTTATTTCCATTTAATGTTGTAGTTTATTGATTTGACTTTAAATCACGTGTTATTTCCTAGTTTTGAAAGTTAAATCTATTTTAAAATTTCTATGTGCTAACAAAATTATTACTTAACGCAATTTGTAACCTCTAAATTTGAATTTATTTTCGTAATTCCAATTAACCCCTGGTTCCACTGTATTATTTAAGTTCCCTGAGTTAGCTCCGAACTCTGTTCTAATCTGCTCCAGTGAAGACGAGGATCCATCCAAGGTAAAGGAACTGAGTTCTTGTGACACGCTTCGATTTTTTACACCATCAGGTTTCAAGATATAAGAATTAGAAAATTTGAATGTGTGGCAAGAACTTTAAGTCTCAAAACCTCAAGTAAATATAACATATATGTTCATTCACGTCAAACTAAAGAAAATTGTATATACTTTAAAATCATCATCATCATTGGAGACCCAACGTCCATCATCTGGGGGTCTTCGATGAAAAGCTTGAGGTTTCTTATACAAATTTTTGGGTCTCCAAAAAGAAGCTTTGGGTCTCCGATGAAAACTTTAGGTTTTTAATGATAAGCTTGGGGTCTCCAATGATGAATTTGGGGTTTCATGTGAAAAGCTCCGGGTCTCTTATGATGATAAGTTTGGTGTCTCCAACGAAAATATAGAGTCTACAATGAAAAGATTTGGATTTTCAATGAAAATCTGTGGGACTCTAAAATGAGGGTCCCGGGGTCCTCGAAGTAATTTAACAATGTATCATTTACTCTCAGGGTTTATCATTGAATCCCGAGGGGGTTTAAATTTCCATTGATTCTAATTTGTCTGAGAGTAAATGACATTCCTTTTTAAAGAGGGGATCCAATTATAAACCCGATGGCTTGCGGATTTTGCGGATTTTTTTTGCCTTTGTAGATTTTCAAAGTATCTTTCAATGAAAATATCCCGGCGGGATTAAATGAAAATTGTTGCATACCAAAAAACCAGCTTTTTATAAAGGAATGATAATTTCACAAATATTGTTAAAATAATTTATTTTAGGAGAACTGAAAATGAGATAAATTTATATCTACAGACATTTTTTCTGAGCCATCAAATCTAGAACATTGTTTTGTCTGCCTGCAATCAGCGTTTTAGACTGTTCTTTGAAAACAAATTTAAATAACTTTTTTTGACTTTATGGTGGATTTTTTTTCAACAGATTCATATTCCACGGGAACTTTTGCAAAATTTAAACGTTAGCAGAAATTGGCAATTTTTTCTCTTTTTGACACACTTTAATACTTATACAGGTTTGCAAACTTCCTTGCACCTACCTCCGGGGCAAAATTTTGAAGGTTGAAAATATTATTGTGATTCCCCTTTGGTCGGTTACATCCATCTATTATTTAAAGAAACTTATTTTAGCAGAAAAAATATATACCACAAATGGGAGTTTCCTCACGCTAAAAAATTCATTTTTCAGATACTATGTAAGCTTGAGAACTAAAAAACTAAATCTTCTTGAACCTGCTCCAACATGACTTCTCCAAGTAAACTTGTCCTTTCTCAGCCTTTAGTAGTGACTTTAATCCTTCTCCTGGTGCCCTGTTTTAGCTGGGGGAAGAACGGGTTCAGCTCCTCACGCAGTGGCTTAGATAAGAAGTTATATGATGGTTTAACTCATCCTAACCTGTGTCATCTAAAACTTGTCTGCACTGTTGCAAAGTTAGACAATGAGAATCTTAAACAATCTGAGTTTATGAGAGGAATGAAAACCCTCTCTGTTCTTAGGAAAAACTATAAAGCGTTCCAGTTGGCAAATGCGCTGAAAAATCTCATGTCTTTTCTATTCTTTATGATAATATGTGTTATGTATACTATATATATTCTTTTCTTGCCCCTCATACATCTTCGCCATAGATAAGGTTTATTCCGGGAGAAAGGGAATGACGGAAAAATAAAAGAGAAAAATATAGATAAAAGGTGTTTTAGAAAGAAGGGAGACAAAATTAGGGGAAGGGGGTGTCAAAAAACAACAATGCATTGGTGAAGAAACAAATTCTTATGTTTTGTTTATAAAAAAAGATGATGGGGGGGGGTCTTAGAATAAGAATAATTGTTGAGGGCATCACTGAACATGTTCAGTATGCTGACTTTTGAATTAAAGTACTAAAATATATATATTTTCTGATGACTGTTTATAACATCACTAGCCTTAGAGGGCGCTTCGCGCCCATCTTCTAAATTAATTGTGAATATGTTCTCTTTGTGTACATCGTAAAACAAAACAAACAAAAAATCGTGGATTTTCACAAAAAATTTCGTGGATTTTTTAAATTTTCAAAAATTTAATGAAGATCGAATTTTGATGGAGACAAATATTTGAAATTTTGATCATTCATAATCTTTCCCTGTGGTCACGTGATGTCCCACATTTAGGCCCGATCGGTTCAGCCGTTTTGACGTTTATTGGATACAAACAAACAAACAGACAAACAGACAGACAAGCCAAATTTATATGTAGAAGTAACCATTTATCATTATCTATTCCCACAAAACAATAAAAAATAAACAAACTAAACCTGAACTGGACTGTATGAGGAGAGCATAAAAACTGCAGGAATATCAAATACAATTTAAAATTGTTTTATTAAAGAGAACTATGGGCGTGTTCTACGATGTGAGAGCACATATAGCTGATGCCAATGATGACTATACCGGCAAGAAAGGGTCAACCGTTAGGAAATTCAAGAAACAGCTAACTAAAATATTATATTTCCATTTATTTTATTGTAAATGCATATATCAACAATATTTTTATTGGGATTCTTCTTACTTCTTATTATCATTTTTTTAAATGATCTTGTCATTCTTGGATTTGCAGTATGGGGATTAGAAAGGTAATTTTCTCTTTTTCAAAAATTATAAGAAATTATAACAGAAAGAAGTAAAAAAAACTTGAAGATTAATTGATATATTTTTAGTCTCAATATGCTCCCAATGATATAAAGCAGAGGAGTCCAACATCTACAGCAGAGAAAGGTTTTGTGTTTGGTTCAGGTTAGTAATATAAATGAAAAACATGAAGTAAGGTGTACCAAAAGAATGAAATATGCACCCTTTTCCCAATCTTTATGGTCCCCTGAGTTCGTATGTAGTAATACGTCAAGGAAAATTTGACAAAAAAAGTTTTTTCAGCTAGGCTTGGTCCCAAAAATTGAGGTAGAAGCTGAAATATGTAAGAATTGTATGCAGCCTCTAATATCTACAAAAAAGAAGAAGAAAAATTTCTTGGTTCATGTAGATGGCTGAATATAAAGGCTGCATCTTAGATTTTAGCCTCCTATCGTTGTCAACACGAGGCGAATTTTTCCGGGTTTTTTAATTCGAGGCTTTTCAGAATACGAGGATTTAAAAAGGAAATGTGAGAAGAAATTAAAATTTCATTTAAGACACAGCTTATAACCTCCTTACAACCTATTTTAAACTCTTCTTGAAGGTTAATTCTGGTCAAATTAAACATTTTATAAATTTGAGTTTGCATTCTTTGCAAAACTTCATTGCTTGATGATATCTAGGTCAGTTTCTGATTACTCCTCTAAACCCTGTCTTGAATAATAATGTTCTCTTTCCTCAAACTTCTCGTCGTTTTACATTTATCTTTATTCGTATCATTCAGCGTCTGCTTCATATTTTGTCTAACTAACCTTTTTTAGGGTGCTTCGCGCCCATCTTCTATTTTAATTGTGAACATGTTCTCTTTGTGTACATCGTTAAAAAAAAAAGTTCGCGGATTTTCGCAAAAAAATTCGTGGATTTTCAAAATTTTCAAAAATTTAATGAAAATCGAATTTTGATAGAGAAAAATATTTGAAATTTTGATCATTCATAAACCCTCCCTGGGGTCACTTGAGGTCCCACACAAAATTTGGGCCTGATCGGTTCAGCCGTTTTGACATTTATTGAAAACAAACAAACACATAGGAATTATTTTATGTGCCGAATTTTCATTTTGAAAAAACTGCTATGGTTGAAATATCAAATGACCGAGAGCATTTAGAGACTATTCACATTGTTTTATTCGAACGTTTTTTTTCTCATTTATTTATAACAAAGTTCACTAAACAAGTTCTGATTACTGAGCCTTAAGAAATCATTTTTTTAAATATTCATAGTACAGCAAAAATCTATGAGTCATTCCTAAAATTCTATTCAAAATTTTTTTCGTAATTTGAAGTCTTTAGGTTATTTGAACAATAACTGGTTTAGGTAAAATTGTGCTTGAAGCGAACCTAGACAAGGAGGTTTTCTACCATGGCCAGGATATCCCTCTTCATGTATCCCTTAATAATAACAGTAAAAAAACTGTTAAATCTATACAGGTAAAAAAGAAGACTCCGACTTGGACGATGCATTTGTTATTTGAAGTATTTATTTTCTTATAAACAGTAAAATAAATTAAATTTCAAACTAAATTTACGCCATTTGCCAGCCAGAGTTCAGAAAAATACTACTTTGGGAATTATTGTGTAAACCATCAAAGTTGTGACCGTGGATAGTGGTAAAAATGTGATGTCTGATTTGTTGTCTTATATGATTCATTTAAAGAATATTGATTTTTTATTGATTTTTAAGTTAAGCAGTTCCTTATTAAAACTGAGCCAATATTGTTTTTTTTCAGTGCACCATCAGTCAAATTTGTGAATTATCAATGGTCAATGCACACTACTCTTGTAAGGTAAAAAACAAGCAATAAAGTCCTTACCACAAACTCATCAGGTTACTGTAAAGACTCAATTCCTTTATAGACCAGGCGACCTTTGAAGTGTCATCAAGCCTTTGATCTAACTATACCAGCCATAACTTTCATAGCCCTGGAAATATAGATAACAGAAAAAAGTATATATCAGATTTCGTAGCAGATTTTTTTCGTGGGAACATGTTTATTTCAATTTACAGCGATAAGTTTAATCAAAGCTATAAATAAAGGAATTCATTTTTATCATTTCAACCTGATGTTGTAAACTCTTGAAATTTAAAACTAAGGTCTTCGACGCCGCGACGTTGGGTTACAAAGATAAAGGAATCATAAAACAAGACTTTGTGGGAAAGTCTTAATCCCTTTTTAAGTATTTAAAAGTCCATCAATTGAGGATTTAGCTTAAAGGGACTGTTTAAATTATTTTAAGTGACCCTCCGGTAAAAACCCCAAGAACTTCTTTATTTTTTTATTATAAGTGACTTTCTAGAAGAAATTAAACTAAAATAATTAATATTTAGAAAGAAAAAAGGACATCTTTATCATTTTTGCTTAAATAAAGGTTGAACATCGGGTCTCTCTACTTAGAATTGAGAGTCACTACTTATAACTAAAATGAGAGTTTCTTTATTATGTTTTATTTCCCTTCCAACACGCCAAGAACTAAGCCTTAAAGTGAGATCTTTCAGAGCTCTTTCGGATTCGAGTTTGGCTGAGAAACGTTAGGATTAAGTTCTGTAATCCGATATTCATACATTTTACCTCAATTTATTCCTATTGAGAGTAGGTAACTGCGGCTGAATTTGAAGATATCCGGGGGGGATCTCCCCTCCCTTAACTTCTTATTTTAGGATTTGTTATATACTTTTGCTTATAAAAGTAGTCAAAAAAGAATTTAAAGAATTTGAGGCTTAAATTTAAGCTGCAGCTCATATATTGCTGGTTACAATTAAAATTGTATTAAATTTTTCAAGATTTAAGCCGGCGTTTTTTTAGGGATTTGAGACGCGGCTCAAATTCATAAAATTTTGACACTGATATAAGAGATTTCCATTAATAGTATCTTTAAAATATTTTTGAAAAAAAAATTAGTTGGAAACAATTTATTTTAAACTATTTTATATAAGAGATGATAGTAGATGCAGTTATTTAGAATTTTTTCTTTCTGTTCGTACGTTTGCCAACGCTCTGAACTTTTTCTTGTAACAATGTAATGTAGGCCCCTCATTTTGGAGTTTAGGTTGCAAGATTAGAATCTCAAGATGGGTGTCCTTTACAATCTGGAGGATCACTCAATCGAACCTTCATCCTTAAACCTCTGGCTCAAATTTGTCAGGTGAGTAAGCCGTATTTGTATATGAAAGAATTTCTATAAGAATCTTTCTGAATTAGACTGTCAACGTTTATCTCATTTCTACTTCACCCCCTCTGAAATATATCATGATAAAACACATATAAATCTTTAAAATACTTTTTTTGCATTAACAAATTTGTTACAGGGAGCCCGAGGGTTATGTTTGGACGCCTCCCTGAGTAAGGTTCAGGACGAATCTAATCTAGGAAAATAATCAAAAATAAGTTTATTTTCTATCATCCAGATAAAAAAATTGCTGTTTTTTTTTAAATTTTTATCGCATATATAGCGACTTCTAAACTTCGCATTCATGTGGTGCCAATCTGCAACAATTTTTTTTGTAGAAGTCGTAAATTTTAAAACATTTTGTGATTTTTGTCCCAGTAAAAAAAGTTCTAATTCAAATTTTTTAATAAAAACATCTTCACAAGATTCGGAATGACAAATCCATTCTACACCCCTCCCCCTTTCAATCATATCCTCCCCCCCCCCCTTTTCTTACTGTTTCTTATGTAAACGTTATTTTGACTGTTTCCAGCTTCCTCCAGTATATCAGAAACTGGAAACAACAATGATCTTCTTGGAGTCATTGTCAGCTATAGCATAAAGGTTTGTCGGTTCTTTCTTCTCAGCTACAGAAATATATTTCTTAGATTGAACAATCTATGTGTCTCACATGTAGTGATGTGCAATAATTTGGTTCGTTTATTGCTTATTTTTTTAAATGTCAATATTTGCCAGAGTATGAGAAGAGATAATGTTTTCAAAATTGTTTATTCCAATCAATTGCTTTATTTACACTATGCCAAGTTTTGACTCTGACAGAAATATATGCAAAAAACGCACCAAATCGTTCGGTTCGGAAACCGAACGTGTTAAAACAATCTTTTTTTGGATTGTTAAAAATTTTTTTTTAAATTGTTTTAAATTTTTTTTAAAAAATAAAAATTTTAATAAAAGCAAACTTAATCTTCTTATTAATTTTATAATTCCCAGTTTCTAGAGTCACAGACCATCTATACTACGTACAGGGTGAGTAAAAACCCGAGATTAGCGATGTTTTGCCCACAATTATCAAACTTTTTGTTTGCTTCGTATTTTAGGTTTATGCCTAAAATTCAAAGTAAATTTTAAAATATCGCAAATCCCGGGTTTTTACTCACAACCCTGTAATGAATATGTATCGCTATAAAAATGAATAAAGACTTAAGTAGCAAAGGGTTAAAAGCAGCAAGAAAAATTTGTATTTGGAAAATTTACAAGAATAAAAACAATAATTTTCTAGGTAAAAGTTCTGCTGGGAGGTATGGGCGGAGAACTCGAAACAGATATACCCTTTAAACTTGTTCATCCCAGACCAGACAGCTTGGTAAACTAATTTTTTTATTTCTCGTTAATTTTTCTTAGAATTTTAATTTTGACCACCTTTTTGTTATTGCAGTTTGTACTTTCTTGAAATAACTTATAATTTTGTAACTGTAAAATTTGTGTGAATTGGGATTTTGTTGTCCTATTGTAGGTTTATTGGAAAAAATGCTCTTTTTTATTCTTTTCTGGTTTCTTAATTACTACTGATTTAAAGAGAAAGATTTCCAATGACAGTGTCACATTTTAAAAAGTTTGAAAATACTAGATCAGGAAAAGTTTTACCATCTGAATACAAAATAAATTATTTACTTACACAGCCATCAAAAAAAATCAAAGAACCTAAACTTAAAAGATGGGACACCCTAATGTGCATCCCCTCTGACCTTTAGGAAATGGAAAACCTGAACAAAGAGAAAACCTCGGCAAGAAGCAAACAGACAGACAAAAGAAGACGAATGTTTCAGGTACACGGACACACACCTTACTCACACACACCATTTCACCGAAAATAAACTAATTGTAGAAAGAAAAAAATCTTAATTGAAAACCATTAAAATTTAAATAATTTAAGAATGTCTATTTTTTTTAATTTTCACCAAAAAAAATGATTTTTATTTTTGCTTTAAAAGTTAAGGGCAAAATTTACGTCTCAATATCAGTGAATGGACACATTTACACAACAAAAATTAATATCTGAATGAGCTTTTTACAAAAGGTGCGCCCTAGATTATTAATCAAATAAAAATGATAAAATTAATTCTAAATTCATTATTCCAGGGCCAGGACAGTGTACTTAACGAATCTTTCCACACTAGTCAGGCACGGTTCGATTCTTTTCATTTTCTTTGTAGATAGTTATGTTTCTGTTATCATTCTTTTTTTACTCTAGGTAGTGTTAATATAAATTTTGACCAAAGTGTCTGGACTTGATGTAAAGAGTTCCAGAAAAAATCTAGTTTTTTCCATTCCCGTTATAATGCTAAACATTATTTGTTTATAGTTAAGAATATTTTATGCTTCTTAATTCCATCTTGTTTTGAAGCTTACAATACATAAATTTTCTTTCATCTTTACCTCTAAGGAGGATTCTAGAAAACTGTATTCAGTTTCCCCCTTTATAAAACATTAAATCTTAAATCTTTGAGTATAACTACTAATTTAAATTTTTTATCAGTAGTTTCTGACGCAATTTTAAATTTTTCAAGTGCATTTATTGGAGCGTCAATTGTGCAGTGTCAGAACAAATTTAGGTATTTGTATTAATTGTAAATAATTTAGGATAATTAAAAAGTCTAAAACTGGCGAAGGTGTGCACGAAGACGACTTTATTCAAGGATCATTCTTTGCAATTCTTGCATTTGTTCAAATAACTGTGAGTGTATTGCTTCTTATCTACTTTTTCAACACTAAGGTAATCATGTTCAATTAAATTTCTTTTCGAATATTTAATTAATTTTTTTTAGACTACGGAACCAGGTTCAAAGGATAGTCTTCCTCCACTACCATCTAGCGGCCATTTGTTAAACTGCTCATTTCTTGTTTTCATCTGTTCCTTTTATTTAATTGTCCTATAATATCATATATATATATACAATTTATATTATTACAGAGAATATTTAGTTCATATTTCCTCGTCAAACTTTAGAAAATATTGTATTCATCATTGCAAATTAAACATTGTGTATATATGTTGATCTTTTTGTAATAAATCCACTTTACATTAGCAAATGTTAATAAACACTAAACACTTAAACCAAGTTTATCATATTTCTTCCGTAAAAAGATTACATAAACCATTTGCCTATTTCAATTTACGAATTTAGGCCTAACTATATTTGCCCAGAATTCTATAAAATTAGGAACTAGTTTTAAATTGAAGTTTGAGCATTGTTTCGATACTTTTCGTAGATTTGACCAACGTGTAAGAACAGATGTTAAATGGGAAAGCTCCCAAAGTCATTTTCCCAAGCGGCAACTTCCCAAGGGTATTTTCTCAAATGGAAATTTCCCAAGCGGCAACTTCCCAAGTTTATTTTCCCAAATGGAAACTTTTCAAATGTGCAATTTCTCGCGGCAACTTTAGAAGTCTGTCCTAGCCGCAGCACTCAGTCCCAATTGTAGCCTTCGGTGCGGCGCCTCAGAAGGGCTAGCCCTAACCTAACCTTAAATGTACCTTTGGGAAGTTGCTGCTTGTAAAATCGCACATTAGGAAAGATGTCACTTCAGAAATCGCCCTTGGGAAAATGCCTTTGGGAAAGTACCTAATACCCGTTTTCTCAGGTGTTAAGTAATTTTCCTTATTCACTTATCCAAGATGGTGGTTGAAATCTGATTATCAAGATCCCATAAACCCCACCATGCATACAAAACCCATGATTTTATCTTTGTTTTATTATGATTTTCCATATTTGATAAGAAAAAAGGAATAAAATGAAAATGTTTGTAGTAAACCTTTCCCCTGAACACGGAATCTTTTCTACATAACAACAATATATTTTAGGAAATAACATTCTTCCCATTGATCCTAACCTTTCCTACTAAATTGTCCCCCCCCCCCTTCCTCCCCATCTTTGTTTACTTCCCCTTGCCCAACATATTTATATCAAGGTGTCAGAGTTTATCGACGAAATACATTACTTGTATCCGGTGAATAAATATATACTGTGATACTGCAAGTATCAGGCAGATAAATGTATTGCATTCCTATAATCAAAAATCAGGTGTTAAAAATTACTGTGAACAGGAGTGTTTCAAATCAAATAACTATAAACAAGCAGTCAGAATTTTTAAGTTATGACTTTTCCAATAAAAAAAAATAGCCTTAACCGTATCTGCACGGCTGGGGGGGGGGGTGTTTCCTACCCCCCCTGTGATTTTTCTAAATAACTTAAAAATGGCTTAAGTTAGAACGCTTAAACTTCTTCACTTTTTCAACTTCATAGTTATCAACTAATTTTGCCAAAAAAATTTTTTTTGGTGCAAAGGTCAGGGTGGAGGACAGGCAAACGGCGGGTTGGTGTTAAAAAAATCCCAAAAATGCTTAATAACCTTTTTACTGATTTTTAAGCCACCAGGGCTGAAATTTATATATTTGAAAAGCTCTTGAAAATGGATGAAATAACATGTTAATATTTGTCAGAATTAAAAATAATTATTTTGAAATTTTTCCGACGTGTTTTTTGAACTTTTTTAAACTACTTCCTCGACGCACCCTAACCATTAAAGTTAGATGTCTAATTTTTTATAAGCAGGCCTTCAAAAGTTGGATTTAGAGGAGACGTATCACGATCCTTTATCTCAACTCTAAAAGAAAAATCATGGGGGGGAGGGGCTGAAAAACACCAGCCTATATTAGACAAAAATAGGCCAGCCGGGTTAAGGTTAAACACTCTTTATATAAGAAAATAATAATTTGAGTTGTTCATCTTTTATGAAAACTATCACACATATATAAAAATGATAATTTGCTCTTTCACCCTAAAGAGGCTGTTTTTGTTGCCCTATCACTCTCATTTTTGACACTATTACCTTAAGTTTGTTTACTTTTAGGTAATTTCAGGGGCGGATAAAGGATTTAAGTGAGGGGGGGGAAGATTTTTTAGGAACAAAAAAATCATAATTAGGAACAAAAAATCGCGCCGCAGGTGAAAATTGTTTTTGACTTAAAAAACTCAAAAAGAGTCAAAATTAATGACTAAAGACTAAAAAACTAGATTTTAAACTTTTCACACATTATATTTTATTAAGACAGATATTTTCCTGTTTTGCACTAGGGTTTCTTTCCCTTAAGCATGCTATTGAGAAGCTATTATGAAAATAGGAACAAAAAATTCCAAATTCAGGAGGGCTACGCCCCTCCCTGAATCTGTTAGGGGGGGCGAATTTCCCTCGCCCCCCCCCCCTGTATCCGCCCCTGGGTAATTTGAAGGTTTTTCTGCAAAAGTAACGGTAAAAGGCCAGTCAGTGTTTAAAAGAACTATAAAATATTTCACAACTTTTTCATTTTATCATTAGATCTAAAAACTACATTTTTGAAAACTGGATGTTAAAACATGTCTTAATATTTGTCAAAAACAAAGAATTTATTTTTTACATTTTTAGACCTTTTCTTTGACATGTTTTTCAAACCCCCTGCACCCAAAGAATTTTCTTTTCAGTCCAATTAGTTAAAAATTAATTGAATTTGCCGTTTTTAGTATTCACCATTAGTATTCTTTTTAATCACTCCACGTTTTTTTTTAATTTCGTCATGAGTCTATTCAACATAAAAAATAATGAGATTTTACGTTATTTTTTAAATGCATCATTTCGTTTATTTGTTAAATGTATTTAATTTAAATATATAGCTTTCCAATGACATCTTGATAATACAAAGGAATTGAGTCTTTGCCACAAACCCAAATTTTCTAGACCCAATAACTTTGCAGCCTTTTAATTTAAACTTTTGATATTTCAAACTTAGATTATTTGGTCTAACATACGGGATAGTTTGAAATATTTAAGGTTTACGACTTTGGTTTGCAAAGATATAGGTATTAGAAAATCATAGTTTGGGGCAAAGACTCAATTCCTTTAAGGAAAACCGTTCTCTTAGTACCTTATTGTCATGTTGCATATATTCCAGTATAATAACGGGACCTATACATAAATTCTCTTAGTACCTTATTGTCATACTGCATATATTCCAGTATAATAACGGGACCTATACATAAATTCTGTCATCGTAAACAATAGCCTTAGAAAAAGTTTGTAAAGATAGAGTTTTCTGAAGCAGAATATATTGAAAAAAGTTTGCTTATAAAGAAGCCACGGAACAATGTGTATTGTTTACTTTGTCGATATTATTTTCAGAAATATAATGTTTAAGATATTGTAGTGTAAACACCAGAATCAGGTTAAAACATTGACACTAACAATTGTTCACAAAAGAATTGAGTTCTTGTCACTAACTAAAATTTACAAATCCCAATAACTTTGCAACCTATTGATGTAAACCTTAGATATTTCAAATACAAATTATTTGAATCTAACAGAATTTATAGCTAGAAATGTGTACGGCACTGGATTGCAAAGATACAGAGACTAGAATATCAGAGTTTGTGACAAAGACTCAACTCCTTTCTTATGCCATTTCTCTACTACACATTTTTATTATTATTATATATCAGCTGAGTTAAAAAATGTTACAAATAAAACATTATTTTTCGAAAAATATCTAAACAACATTAAAACGTCATTTAAGAAATGAGTTTACAGTTCTTAACCTTTTTCGCCCAAAAGATTGAGCATTTACTTATTGGTTAAAATGAACGGGGTTTTATTGCATCTGTTTGCAACGAACGAATTGATTCAAGTATTTGTTTCCCTCTCCGAATCCGATTTTAGCTTTTATAAAACTTTAATCTAAACAGAGAAGATCTGTATCAACATAAGGATTCATAAGAACTCTCAGTTACTTAAAGAGTTCAATATGAGTCGAAACCTATTTCTATACCTCTTTGTACTTTGGTCTGTTAATAAAGATATAGCAGGTGGTCCTGTAGAAGATATTTCTCTCATAAAAACCCTTTTAGGAGACATATTTCGAAGATACAAGACGGATATGGAAAGTCTTCAGAATCTTGTAGAGATTACTACTGGTAGTCTTCACACCTGGAGAGAAGAGGTATCTGCCCGTCTTGTTGATCTTGAACTGGCTCTTGGGAAAGGGGAGAATCCCAGTGTTAAAGTAGAAAGACATGCACTGGATAAAAATGACAATTTTGAAGGAAATATCTTTGGCATTCGGGCTTCAGTTTTAAAGCTCGAAGATTTAAGTCGAACTTCATCTGCTAGAACATGCAAACAGCTCAGTGATTTAGGAATTCATGAGTCAGGTGAATACTTTATTGACCCTGACGGACCTGGCCTCAACCATCCTCCAGTAAAGGTCCATTGCAATCTAAAAAGTGGAGCCACAAGGATTGATCATTCCTTACAGGAGCAAGAAGTAAGTCCATGTAAAGAACGGGGTTGCTTTGTCAGACCTGTTCACTATAAGATGCCCATGAAGCAAATAGTTTCCCTAATCTCTCTGTCCAATCATTGCGAACAGTATATTAGATATGACTGCCTCAATGCAACATTAAACACTTTGAATGATTCTAATGCTTGGTGGATGGACCGGCATGATATTTTGCATTTTTACTGGTCAGGGGACTCAGCAATTGAGACATCAGATGGATTTCAAGGAACATGCTACTGCCATCTACAAGACTCCTGCATCTCCAGAGATCACAGATGCAATTGTGATGCTGGAGAGAGTATCTGGACCTATGATGATGGACAGCTAACTGACAGAGCTCAGCTTCCAGTCACTAAATTAAACTTTGGAAATTTCTACGAGGGTGGACAATCAGCCAAATTTTACCTAGGGCCCTTGTACTGCTCCGGGGAGCGAACTCTACCCCTTGAAATGGACTCCTGTGAGTCTCTATGGTTGGCAGGATCAACAACTCCAGGCTATCAAATTATTAAGACTAAATCTGATACATTTCCCAAAGTAGTTTATTGTGATATGAACAAGCTTCCTGGAACTCCAGGGTTCCAGAGAACATACGGTAGTCCAGGAAACCTCAGAGATTTTGTGGCTTTTGATGCGGTTATTTCTGAAGACATTACAGATAACTACAGATACATAGGATTCTCTGATACTATTTTAAATATTGGAGGAGGCCTTAATGTCAAAGATGGAATATTTGAGGTTCCTGTCAGCGGTACATATATGTTTACGGTGCATGGATTGCCTATAAGAAACAGACCTTTTATCATTCAGATACAAAGGAACAACCGTCCTATTGGGTCCCTTTCAAACAACAAATCTGGTGAATCAATGGTCGGGCAGTCTGTCTTAGTTGAACTAGCAGCTGGAGATGAAGTACGACTCTTTAATGCTGGTGGAGAAGTAACAGGAAATGTTTATGATAACAATGTATATTTTCATTTTACAGGTGTACTTTTAAACTCATTTTCTAAGCAATAGAATTAGAATTTAAAAAGACATGAATAAAGAAATATTTAAAAATAAATTTCCTACCACGTTTTTTGGAGGAAAAGGCCCAGCCAGAGCCCCGAAAAATGTATGATTTGAAATACTTGCTTTTTTCTGATCTTCTCCAAACAGATTCAATGTAGGTTTTTGCAACCCAATAAATGGATTAAAATTTCAGACGTTGCAAAATTTGACCAAATTGTTTTTTAGATTTTTAACAGTTTAACCAAACTTCAACTTTTGTACATTTTCTAAATTTACGCAACATTTATGATCGATGTAGAACAAAAATAAAGGAAATTATGATTATATCTAGGGTTTCATTAAAGTCTCAAAATAGAAAAAATTCAAAATCTTTATAAAACAAATCTAGCTAGGGAAGCTGAATGCATTTTATTGCAACAATTCATGTGTACATGTGAAAAAGAGCGAAACTAGAAAATTTTGTATCTGATATTTCACAAAATAAACATATTTCCAGTCATTGGATTTTAATATTTATACATTTCATATACAATTTTTGTTTTCGAACATTTTTTGCTAAATAACTATATTTTGCAGTAAACATTAAAAAAATTTCAAATTTTCAATTTTTTCATATAACTAAAGTATAGTATTAAAGGTCGACATCGACTACAATTTACAAAATACTTTATATATATAATCATCAATCAGATAGGTTCCCGGCTTTTATAAAATGTTCCAAATAACTAACCATTTCTGGTTTGACTAGTTTTGATTTTGTACGACATATATTTAAATGTTTTTTTTTTGTTTAAATTTGTTGCATATATATATATATATATATATATCCTATCTTTAATCTTTTGTACCTTTATGTTTACGAAATAGATATTGCAGGGTTGTCTATAGTATACATGTTATGTATATAACACCTTTCACAGGGTCTGAAAATGGAAGGAAAGAGAGAACATTTGTAGCTTTAGTTTTTATAACATTGTAAAAACTTAACAAATAAAAACCGCCGGACCTATTATCAAATTATTTTCTAGTTTTAGTCGAAAGTTAGAAATAAAAGTTTTCTCATTTGATGATAAAAGAGCGCTTTCTTCAAATAAAATCTGTGTTTCTCCTCAAATAATTATAAAAGTTTGTGGAAGGGTTGCATTCTCTTCAAAACGTATATGTGGTGTCTGTTTAAACTTTAAGTGAATTATATACGTATACGGAGGGGGGTAGGGCTAGGGCTAGGGGGGAGGAGGAATTGGGTTATAGCGGGAAGGGGGTATTTGAGGAAGGTGATGGAAATTGTGATATGGGGAGTTGTAGTACGAAAAAAGGATTAAAGGATGTGTAGCGGGAAGTATTGGGGTATGACATGGAAGGTTTGTTTAACAGGAAATCGGGATGAGGGGGCCGGGGATTAAAGTACGAGAAGATCTTGTAAAGCGGTAAGTATGGGGGAGAGTGTAGTGCGGGAAGGTATTGTGTATTGGTAAGTAATGAAGGGGTGATAGTACGGGAAGGAGTTGTGTAGCGGGAAGCATTGGAGAGCGCAATGAATGTAAGGCAAGGAAAGTCATTTCAGTGGTGTACGCATTTTTAGTACTGCAGTGTACTGTCTTTGGGCTCAAATATAAACACAAGAGTAGGGGTGTCACAGCCTGACATGGGATCCATCTTTCAAATAAAAAATCAATGATTTATTCTGGTCATAGGAATTTATAACATAAATTATCAAAATACAGGTTACAATATTCCAGGATTAAGTTGGCAGCAACATCTGAGTCTCCAGGCTTACAACAATTCATAAATTATCGCAGAGCTGGATTTATCCATAAAACATAATGATATATTTACTCTTTGAAGAGAAATCTAATATGTATAGTACATGTAAACAAATACAAACATTTAAAACCAATGTTTTGTATGTAGGGTTTCCAGCGAACGAAAACTTTTGCGAAAAATGCGAAAATTTTCGTTCGTATTTCGAAAACTTTTTAATGAAATTTTGCATTTTTTCGCGAAAATGAGATTAAGCGAAACAATGCGAAAAAAATTTGCTTACATGTACATACATATATTTTTTCAAAACCATAAATTCCGCGAAACAAGCTTAAAAAACTTGTGGAATTCTCTGATCTGAGAGCTCAGCACTAAAAGTTATATTAAATCATATATTTGCATTTTTTGCATTTCTTAATTCGCGAAATTTAGCATTTTTTCGCCCAACAGATTAAAGCGAACTATCGCAAAAACACGAAAATTTTCCCATTTTTCGTGAGCGAACAAAATGCGATTAGGTTCTGTGAACATTTTAATGTGACTTATTACTAAACTTACTTAAACAATTGTGCAGACCTTTATTTTATCATTTTAAAGAAGCGAAACTCTTGTTACTGACTTTTAAATAAGTATTTGGCAAAATTCTAATAGTTTGTGTGACGTTGCTTAATTTTTGTTCATGGTAAGTAGATAAAAGACTTAATGGCTTACTCTTCATATTTTAAAAGAATAAACTGCACTTATTACTTAGAAACTTTTATTTAAACTTTCTATCATTTACAATCCAAAATCAAAAATTGCCAATCCCGCTCAAACTATATGACCAACAAAATTACAAACTATTTTTTATGTAAAATCTAGCACTGGTTATATCCAAATAGATTCTAGTACAATAGATTGCAGCGTAGAATTTGTACACTCTAAACTGTATTCTGACGTCATAAGTGTCAATTCAGTTTTTGTGTCCGACAAAATTGTCAATATAATATTGATAATTTTAGAATAAAGTGCTTGTCTAATAGTAAAATAAGTGCAATTGTATGTGTTCTTTATTTTCTAAATTTGAACTTTTTTATTTAATCTTGGAAAAATGTCACCTAATGTGAGAACATTTTGCTATAACAAGCTTGTTATAATTGACAATTGTAACGTCGTCACAAATTGGTCCATTTCTCTGTTGCCATTTATTGTACTTGTTAATCTATTTGGTTATTATCTTTTCATATCATAAAAAGTGTTCAAAAAGTAATATTAAAGATTAATATATCCAAGCATTAGCGTAAAAACCTTAAAAAGAAAAGTGTACAAAACATTTTTTTATTAAGATTGGAAAAAACTGTGTTTACTAAGATATAAAAATTATTGTTTCCAATATCAGATATTTTTGTAAAGTATGTACAATGTACATTTGTTGACCCTAAACAATGAATACTCCGTTGTAAAGTCGTCTTTTACAGCCACAGCCAAACCAAACATTTTCATCCCCCCCCCCCCTCCTCTCTCCGACAAAACTATAAACAACTTCACGTGTAGCAATGCAATTTCAAAAGTAAAAAAAAAGAATAATACTCATGCAAAAATAGTGATTTACATTGATGATCAACAATTGTCATTTTATTTCAGACGTTTAAATGTTATTTTATTTTTGATAACCAGACGCCTCAATTCACCCCACCATCTTCAACTAGTAAGGATGTTTCATAATATAATAAAACATTGTTAACATTTATGTATCAATCAATTTATATCAATGCATTGTTGTTAACCATACTTATTTTATAGGATTGAAATATACCTACTGCGTGTATTATCTTCTATGGATTTGTGGGGAATTTGAGAAGACCTCTGGAACTATTGCCTACTATTGCCAACTATTGCCAACTATTCTCATCTATTGCCAACTATTGCCTACTATTGCCTACTATTGTCATTCATTGCCAACTATTGCCAACAATTGTCATCTATTGCCAACTATTGTCATCTATTGCCTTCTATTGCCTACTCTTGCCAACTATTGTCATCTATTGCCAACTATTGTCATCTATTGCCAACTATTGCCTACTATTGCCAACTATTGTCCTCCATTGCCAACTATTGCCTTATATTGCCTACTATTGCCAACTATTGTCCTCCATTGCCAACTATTGCCTTCTATTGCCTACTATTGCCAACTATTGTCCTCCATTGCCAACTATTGTCATCTATTGCCAACTATTACCAACATTCTATTGCCAACTTCAGAACTTAAATTGTCCGGGATCCTAGTTTAATGAATATATACCCCTCCTATCAGTCAACAACATTATTGTACAAACTGGCAAGGGATTAAACTTTAACACTGGATTATTTGCTAACCAAGCCAATAATTGAACGATATTACATTGACGCCTGGTATTTGGTATTACAGCAAAAAGCTTCCCGAAATCAAAGGCATTCTAGTAAAAACCTTGCAACAAGAAATAGATAAAGATAGACAGATAGATGGAAAAACAGAAATTGGCTTAACGTAAAATTGCAATCATTTCATTCGGGTGACTTAATAGTACAAAATTGATTTCCAAAAAAAAGTTTTACAGTTTTTTTACATATAAAACTACTACTTTTAGGTCGCAGAGGGACTGTAAGCGTTATTTTAAGTGAATACCGAATTAGCAGTTATTTCATTTCTTTTTTGATCTAGTTCTTCTCCCTCTATTTTTTCTTCTTTCTTCTTCTTTCTCACTCTGATTTTATTTGTTTCTCCCTTCGTCTTGTTTAAGTCAACATCTTTCTTCTTATTTCTTTTTCTTTCTCCGTCTATCCTTTCTTCACTTCTTCTTTCTTCTTCTTTCTTCTTCTTTCTCCTTCTTTGCCTCCAGTTTCTTTTTCATCTCGCTATACTTCATAATTTGTTCAACTTTTCCCTAAATTTTCCTACTTTTCTCGATTTTTTCTGATGTTAATTATTTTAGACGTTTTTTTTTCTTTTCCGTCGTCTTTTCTGACAAAAGTAAGATACACCTATAGAAAGGGGTTTCTTACAAATCTTATTTTGACATCTTTTCGCAAGCGGACAGCAGTAATCCTTATTTGGAGAGTGGTAAAGGGAACATGAAATGCTTGTACAACCTTTATTAAATGGGCACAAGGATGAGTTTATTCCGAGTTGGAGCAAGGTTAAAGGAACTGACTTTTTGCCACAAACTCAAATACGCTTAACCCTATATCTTTATAAACTGATGGCAAGAATATGTTTATTCCGGGTTGAATGCTGGGAGCAAGGATATGTTTACTCCAGGTTGAATGCTAGGAGTAAGATTAAATTTACTCTGTATTGAATGGTGGGAGCAAGAATATGTTTATTCGGGGTTGAATGGTGGGAGCAAGGATATTTTTACTCCGGGTTGACTGCTAGGAGCAAGATTAAATTTACTCCTAGTTGAATGCTAGGATTAAGATTAAATTTACTCCGAGTTGAATGGGGTGGGAGCAAGAATATACTTATTCCGGGTTGAATGCTGGGAGCAAGGATATGTTCATTCCGGGTTAAATGCTGGGAGCAAGGATATTTTTACTCCGGGTTGACTGCTCGGAGTAAGATTAAATTTACTCCGGGTTAATTGCTGGGTAGCAAGATTAAACTGACTTCGGGTTAAATGGTTGGAGCAAGATTAAATGTACTCCGGGTTGAATTGTGGAAGCAAGAATATGTTTATTCCGGGTTAAATGCTACTAGCAAGAATAAATTTACTCCAGGTTGAATGCTAGGAGCAAGATTAAATGTACTCTGGGTTGAATAGCATGGGAGCAAGGATATGTTTACTCCGGGTTGATTGCTAGGAGCAAGGATATGTTTACTCCGGGTTGAATGCTGGGAGCAAGGATATGTTTCTTCCGGATTGAATGTTGGGAGCAAGGATATGTTTCTTGTGGATTGAATGCTAGGAGCAAGGATATGTTTCTCCCGGATTGAATGCTAGGAGCAAGGATATGCTTCTCACGCATTGAATGCTGGGAGCAAGGATATGTTTCTCACGGATTGAATGCTGGGAGCAAGGATATGTTTACTCCGGATTGAATGCTAGGAGCAAGGATATGTTTACTCCGGATTGAATGCTGGGAGCAAGGATATGTTTCTTCCGGATTGAATGCTGGGAGCAAGGATATGATTCTCCCGGATTGAATGCTGGGAGCAAGGATATGTTTCTTCCGGATTGAATGCTGGGAGCAAGGATATGTTTCTTCCGGATTGAATGCTAGGAGCAAGGATATGTTTCTCCCGGATTGAATGCTGGGAGCAAGGATATGTTTCTTCCGGATTGAATAAGGATATGTTTCTCCCGGATTGAATGCTGGGAGCAAGGATATGTTTCTTCCGGATTGAATGCTGGGAGCAAGGATATGTTTCTCACGGATTGAATGCTGGGAGCAAGGATATGCTTCTCCCGGATTGAATGCTGGGAGCAAGGATATGTTTCTTCCGGATTGAATGCTGGGAGCAAGGATATGCTTCTCCGGGATTGAATGCTGGGAGCAAGGATATGCTTCTCCCGGATTGAATGCTGGGAGCAAGGATATGTTTCTTCCGGATTGGGAGCAAGGATATGCTTCTCCGGGATTGAATGCTGGGAGCAAGGATATGTTTCTTCCGGATTGAATGCTGGGAGCAAGGATATGTTTCTTCCGGATTGAATGCTGGGAGCAAGGATATGTTTCTTCCGGATTGAATGCTGGGAGCAAGGATGAATTTACCGCAAATGTGCACACTGAGGTTTTTCATCAACTCTTGAATTTATATCAAGGGGTGTTGATCATCTGGTTTTTTCCAAGTATTGACAGAAAAGTAAAATATGATCTGTGTGGATTATATATTAAGCTGAATAAATGCAAGAGGTTGAAAGAGTTAAGTATGGAAAAAGATTAAATGTTTCAATGTTTGCATCATTACCCTTAGTGTACTCAAGTATTTTGGCATTCTTCAGTCCTTAGCTGCCTTATCCTACACTCCTACATCCTTATATACTATAAATATAAGGTTCCAAACATATTAAGATTAGTTTAATTGAGTTTATACGATATAAATTTTACACCATGCCTATAAAATTTACTTGTTCCAAATACGGTCAAAGCTAACAAATAAAGCTTTAAGTGTATTTTTATTTGTCCCAGTAAAATATCAAAGTCTTATCCGTCTCACAGCAGAACAGTTTTTTCACCAAGTGATCATAAGATAACAACATTTTTATACTGCTAATTAGAATTAGTTAGTGTTATCCAATCCTCAAAGATTAATATGAAAAACATAATGTCAGCCGACTTAAACTTGTAATCATAGATTTAATAAACCACATTTAACCTTCGGATCTCTTTTAAATAATATTTTGGAAATGAATGATTCATCTTTAAACAGGAGAAACTAATTGCTAAATCTAATTTAATTAGAACTTTATGCTTCCTAGGATTCAAACAATTTGTTGTTTGATTATTAATTTCTATAAATCCAGAATAATTTAGAACGGACGAGAACAATGCTAAATATTTAGGATTGGCAAATTCTAATTTTTAAAATCACGCAACCCCTGAATTGAATTTTTGAGATTTTTACATATTATAAAGTATTATATGGATGTCAAAGTTTTCGACACTGAATTAGGTATATATTCTTTTTTTAAGTAGTAAGTAAGTAAGTTTTTTATGAAATATAGCAAAAACATACAAAATTAAGTGTTTTTAAGAGAAAATATTTTAAAACCTCCAAAAACAAAGGTTGTGGGAATATTTCTCCCATTTCTAAAGAAATATCAAAAATAGAAATTAAAGGGAAAGGAAAGTTACATATTTATTGTTAACATTATATTAAATATAAACTGGTGGAGGACTGTTAGTAGTTTTCGAATATGAACTAATAACTTTTAGAAATAACAATGATAGATTTATTTTTAATGTTAAATAATACTTTAAATAAGCTTTAGGGGTTGTGAAAAAGATATAGGTTCTACGCAAAACGGGCATTTTTTAGCATCTTTTTAATTCGTGCCGATTTTTGACATTCTTTATGTTTCATTATATCTTTTACTCTTTTTAATCTTTAAGGTCTATTTTTTTGTAAAATCGTCTTTGCTTTCTTCGATTCTTTTACAAACACAGATTTAAAACATTTGTTCTGCTGATAAAAGTCTTGGATTAAATTCTGATTAAAATTCGAACTAAGATTGATATTTGAATGCTTAGAAAGGTGCCGTATATTTTTCTACCATATTTTCAGGAAATTGTGAGGAGGAAGCAGTCCGATTTTGATATATAAATTATTTCTGTTTCTAAGATTTGCGATTTTGATATTGTTGATATTAAGAAATCTTTTTTAAATTGAAATTAAAATTCTATAACATTAAAATTTCTGAAGAAGAGTATGTTCAAAGCCCAAAAAGCTTCCGCTGTGTAACTTATTCTAGGTAACCCCATCAAAGACGAATAGCGTTCTTTTGCAATGATTCTATCTTATCAATATTTTTGTTTGAAAGCATTATAAATTTTGAACAAAATGCTAAATGAGAGTGGAAAAAGTAGTAATAGAGCAATTTCATGGTTTCAATGTTTAAGAAGTACTTAATTTTTTTCATAGCATAAAGTGAAAAGGTTTGATACAAAATTGCTAGTGTATATTAATGAAACCTATAAACAGTAGAATATAAGAAATGTAACTTTCAAATAGCTTTAATCAATTTAACATTCTAACCAAAAAGTAAAAATGGATTGTCGCTGTAATTTTAAGAGAACCTTAACTCACTTTAATAGAGAATCCACAATTGAAAATGATCAATTTTTGAAAATTAAAAACATGGAAATAGGACTTTTTTGGAAACAGTAAAACGTTCCTAATTTTTAATTCGTATTTGCACATTCAAAAAATCTTTGTCGTTTCAGTATTTTAGAGCAAAATAGGTTTTCTGAAATTTTACTTTTCCCTGTTAGTTGAATACTCTCGAAATATAAAAATACAATAAGAAAAGTTTGGAAATTAAAACTTTCTCAAATTTGCTTTTCATGATAAAATTGCGTGCTGACTATAACTACCAAGGGTTTTATGTCCTAAGGCTGTATAAAAACACACAACACAATCTGGGTTTGGTGATGGTTATCAAACGTTTATTTTACACACAAAAAACACATTTTTACCTAATATGAAGTATTTGTACAATGTATTGATAAAAGAAATACCTAAAAATTTAACTAAAAAAATTAAACCTATTTACTTCAAAATAAATACTGGGTTTGAACTTAAAAAAAAACT